ATGGGAGCAGAGCCCAGTGTTGGGCATATTTTGGCTACTTTGGTACAAGTTTATTTACAGTCTGTCCTTGAAAGAAATTGTATAGAGCCCCTTAGCACATTAGAGATGACTCTTGAACCCCAAGGTTATGTTGGGGCCAGTTACCTCAAATCTGTAAACTTTAAAAAGGCTCCTAAACAAAAGTTATAGCACAGTTTTTATAACTTGAAGAGGAACTGCATACTGTTAGCAGCCATTCTTCTCCTAAAGGGACCCTCTGTTAGGTTCAGTGGAGGACAGACCCGTGTAGATACATTTAACCAAACGCATATTTTGTGGCTCTGAGAGTGTTCTGTTGAAAATTATGGATGTGTACCTTCTGAAACTAAAGAATTGTGGGTGGTCATAAGTTAGCACACTTCAGAACGCCTTCTTTGTCAGTGTTGCCTTGTTTAGCACAGCCTGGAAGCTTTGCTAGCACACCCCAAAGCACAGGCTTTGTTGGCAGGCATTTAAAAGTTCAGGTCTGCCATTTATTAGCAAGTCCATCTCTGAGCCTTGTTTTTGTTTCACTTGGAAAATGAAATCCCGTTGTCGCAGGCTTGTCCTAGAAACTGTACATAGGAGGCCGATGTGATGTGCCTAAGTCAGTGCTGACCGAGGGACAGGTGCTGACTGGTGCCAGTCCGTGGCCAGGCTGCTGCTGTCTCCAATGCTGAGCTCCAGTGAGCTCCAAGGGATGCATTCCACTGTGCTCCTCAGAATCACCTGGAAAATTGCATATTCAACATATAAAACACAAGTGCCCCCCCCCCCCCCGCCTCAGATCTCCTGAATCAGGCACTCTGTAGTTTTCTGTAGGTGATTCTGACTCCCCCTAAGTCTGAGAACTTCTTACATCTAGTGCAAAATATTGTGTGGAAATCAGCTATGGGGAACTTGTACCTCACTGTATATTATATATGGAACAGTGAGACAGTTAAGTAAGGCTGATTTGGGGACGAGGTTAATCCTGGGTGTGCATGAGAGTGAAAAAGGCACCACCTTTAATTAAAAGATTTATATAACTTGCAACTTTTCAAGGGTAATAACAGTTTATGAATCACATTGGACATTGACTGCTTCCTAAAATCCCTTCATTTAAAAATTCTTCATTCCTTCCTTGTTTACAAAACAATGATGTGTATAGGCTGAGCAGAGGTTTACTCATGCTATGAATGGTTTTTATTTTTTTTTTTAAATAAAAACATTTCCCCTAATCTCAAAATGGAACCAAGAAAAAGAAAATATTCATGAAAAATCTTGCCTGGGAACTTGTAACAAATCATTCTCGAAGCTATTTCAAATTCGCAATAAGCAAAAAGCCTGTGTTCCTGGCACAAGTGTTAGTTGCAGAGACGAAGGTGGCACCCAGAACGAGGTCTGACAGCCCACCCTTTGCCCTTCCACAAACCTCCCGTCTCTGTAGCCTTCCCTGCCCTGGCCAGGAGCCCTGATGAGTGAGACCAAGACGGAGGTGCCCAACAGACAGTGTGGGTGGCAATGAGTTTCTTTGACAAAGTCTGGACCTCATAAAACTTACTCTGCCAGTGGCATTCATGATGTCTTTTACCTCAGTACTTTCAGGGTTTTCAGTTGAAGAGTGATGGTGAATGAAAAAAAGAAATTCGGCATTTGTGTCAAAATTGCTAGAGAATTACAGGTCTGCCAATAAAGTCTTGGTATGGGTTTTTAATTTTTTTGACACTAATGAAACAAAACTTTAATTAACCAGAATCCTTAATTTAATAGGATTTCTTCCCTGTAGGAGGCATTTTGATTTTAGGATCACATAGTAATGAATTGGTGTTAGGAATTTTGTGAAAGAATGGTCTAATTGGATTCTTCTGGTTATTTCTCTAGCAGTTATTATTTTGAAATGAAAATCTGGAAGTTTGGTGAAACCCAGATGATGCTGTGGTAAGACTGACAGAAGGCTGAGCTAATTGATTTATTTTTTTTTATTTTTAGTTACTTATTTTTTTTGAGACAGAGCCTCAAGCTATCCCCCCTGGGTAGAGTGCTGTGGCATCACAGCTCACAGCAACCTCCAACTCCTGGGCTCAAGTGAGTCTCCTGCCTCAGCCTTCCAAGTAGCTGGGACCACAGGCGCCCACCACAACGCCTGGCTATTTTTTGGTTGCAGCCGTCATTGTTGCTTGGCGGGCCTGGGCTGGATTCGAACCTGCCACCTTAGGTGTATGTGGCTGATGCCTTAGCCACTTGAGCCACAGGCACTGAGCCACACAGGAACTGTATTAAAGGGCCGCAGCATGAGGAAGGTTGAGAACCTCTGTTCTAAAGGCTCACTGGGTATGTGGAATCAATGGGAAAATTAAGCAACCTGTTGGTTGAGGTGCTATTCACCTCACACCCGCACTTTTCAATCCTACACTGAGAGAATTTTGCTGCCTTTTCTGAGACAGAGGTGGCACTCACTCGCCAACACAGGGACTCCACTGTGGAGCCTGGCAGTGTGAGGAAGGGGAGGACTCCCTTAGTGATGGCAGCTAAGCACATGCTGTGGTGAGCCCCACGCCTCGCTTACCCACCCATCAGCTTGTCCTGACTGTCCTGAGGTGCATGTGCTGGGTAGCCTTTGAGAAGAGAATCCTGGGAGTTCAGGTTGTTCAGAAGATATTTGCATGCCCAGCCGCTCCCTGCAAACTGGCTTACTGTGGCTATAAAACAAGCTTGAAGGTAAAAAAAGTTATTTTCTTAATTAACCTTCTTACTTGGTTTCTATGTTTGTGTTCTGCTGATGTTTCAGTCTTTTGAAGCAACAGTTGCAGGAATTCTTGAGTCCATTGTGCTACTGCCAACCTGCCAATCAGTAGTAAATTTAACTGTCCCAAACCCGAGTCAGACTCTGTTATGGAAGGCTCCACGGCCAGTTTCTGGTTTAGTTCCTTCTCATTTTCAGTATGGTGGCCAACATTAATTGTTAACTTTGTGGTTGTAAGAGTTCATTTAAAACCTGACATTGTGATGTCTACCATTGAGGGAAAGTCTTTGCTACAAAGGTCTCAGTGGATAATTCTTTTAACGCATCCTAGCAGATTCAGTCAGGTAGCCTAGCTCCCTAACCCCTAGCTCCTTAGGGAGAAAGGCTCTGGAAATAGCAGGTCATTTTTAGATGGTTTTAAAAGTTGTAAGTTTATACATATTAAAAACTATATGCATTGTGGCTATTTTTAAATTTACAAATATTTAATGATTAGCTTTCTACACAGGGGTACCATGCTTTAGCTAGCACCAAGAGATAAATAGGAGAGATTCTGCTGGATGGAGCTCATGTTCTAGGTGAGAGGAGGGGAGGAGAGAGAACCAGGTGGTGTGTTGGGCTAGCACATACTCGGTGGATGTGAGGAGTGGATGACATTCGAATCACTCCAGAGACTTGCTATGAAGCTGAAAATCAAGATGTGTGGTTGACAGGAATTTGTGATCAGAATGAAAGCAGCATCAAAGTCTAGGGTATCACTGAGGAACTTGGGGTAGTCCGTGTGACTGGAATGTAGATGGTTTGTAGAGAGTCATACTCCCAGGGAAGCTGCTCCTGGAAGAGGTGGTCATCTTTCAGTAAGGAAGGGTCTGTGTTGGGTTGAAAGCAAGAGGTTGTCTTACAAGGTATGTTTGGGGAACAGACATGACTTGCTATCAAATAGAATGCTTGTGGCAAGCCTGCAGGGGGACAGTGGGACAATTTCTAGAGACTAGATCTGTACTAGATTATGGGGGAATTTTAATGGCAAAGCAAAGGTTTGCAATTTGTTCGACATTAGTAAAGAGCCGTCAAATGATTATTGTTTTAGAATATGGATAGTGACACAAGAACCGGGGCTTTAGAGCAGGTTCCTTTTCATGAGAAGACTGAATTAGAAGGACAAAATGTGGGGGGAGGTGAGGGGACCAATAGGCTCTAGTCAGAGGAAGTCTCCTGAAAGCCCGGAGGTCAGGAAGAGTTGATGGGGGAGGGAGACTTACATCGGGGCTGGGATTTCTCAACCTACCTACAGTCTTACCTAGACCAATTAATATTTTCCTATTTGTCTGAATGGCGTTGGGGAACGGGATTCAGTGGATTCCCTAGAAGCAGGTCTGTAAAGACAAAAGTCTTTTTATATCCTATTTTCATTATTTTGCTACATACATGATATGACGTGAAGCTTGGGGGGTGCCCACATTGTGACCATGAGGCCAGCCCACCTCAGTTTATATGCTGGCTAAAAAGCGTACCTTGGTTAGTCTCCACCTCAGATTTCCCCGTGAGTGCACTTTAACCACTTTGGTGCCAGTGCTGATTTAGGACATGTCTTTATGTGGTTTAAGTAGGGCAGTCAGAGTATAAAATTTCTCGGAGGGTAGAGCTGGTATCTATAATTGCATTTTCTCATCCTTGACATTTGAAATGAGAAATAAAAGTCATCTTTTTGGGGTTTACATGCCAAGGCACTGCCAGCAGAGTAGGCTGAGAGTAAAGTAAATGCTGTTTTGGGTACCTGGTAATCTTTTAATTATGAAATAAATCTTTTGATTTTAATCTTCCAAGATGTATGCTACTGATCCAAGAAAACAGCCCTTTTAAAGTTCACATCCTGCTGACTCCTTCAGATGAAAAGCTTCTTACCTCTACCCCATATTTTGCAAGCTGAAAGTAAAAATATCATTAATCTTGTCTCAGTTCCACCGCTGCATATAAAAGTCTGTTCAGTTTGTGTTCTGTCCTGAGCCAGGAGGGAGATGGCCCAGAATAAATGCTTGGGTTTCCGGGGCCAGGACCTGCACCAACTGGTGGGTCACAGACCCAGGCCTCCATGTAGGAGTGGGTTAATGGACCTGCGCCATCGCTAAAGCATGTCCTTTATCATCATTTCTTCCTAGACCCTTGCCTCCCTCCACGCGTGTACATACGCACAACAAAACTTGGATAAATACTGATAAATTTTACTGTTTTGGTTCTTTTGCGGCATCTGAAACAGTTTGTACAATGACGAAAGAAACCTGCTTCGGATTAGAGAGAAGGAAAGACGCAACCAGGAAGCTCACCCAGAGAAAGAGGCGTTTCCTGAAAAGATTCCCCTTTTTGGAGAGCCCTACAAGGTATTTACATGTGCTAGAAGTGAACATCTGCTTTATCACGATGTGGAACTCTGGGAGGAGACGATTCAGTGTGATTGAGTTGGAACAAGGACCACGACTACGAAAATAAGATAACTTACTTTAGAAATTGTTTTTGAAAACAGAATATCAGGATTCTTTGAACATTGTTAGAATTGCCAAAGTTGGTGGTTTTCTTTTGTAATGTTAGCCTCCTGTAGTTAGTAATATGTCTCCATAGCAGGCTTTTCAACAGAGGAATTAAGTTAGAACTGCACAGTAAATTCTATGTTACGCATTATATTGGGGATTTTTTTCCACTAATGATGTTATGTAACATAGTTAATTATTAAATGATATTTTTTATTTCCATTTTTAAGAAAACTATTCTCTAACTCTGCTGTCTTTTTTTTTTTTTTTCCAGACAGCAAAAGGTGATGAGCTGTCTAGTCGGATACAGAACATGTTGGGAAACTATGAAGAAGTGAAAGAGTTCCTTAGTACCAAGTCCCACACTCATCGTTCGGATGTTTCTGAAAGTAGGTTGGGAAAGCCGAAATACCCTTTAATTCCTGACAAGGGGAGCAGCCTTCCATCCGACTCCTTCCACCAGTCCATTCACACTCCTGCCTCTGCATTAGCTCCTGTCGGTAACATGAGCCGCAACCCAAAGACGGCGCACCAGAGAATGGAACCAGCGCCCGTTCTCCACACCAAAAACTACAGCCCGCTGGACAGCCAGCACTTGACTCAAGATCGCCTTGGCCAGGAGGGGTACAGTTCTAGTCATCACAAAAAGGGTGACCGCAGAGCTGATGGAGACCATTGTGCTTCAATGACAGACTCGGCTCCAGAGAGGGAGCTTTCTCCCTTGATCTCTTTGCCTTCCCCAATCCCCCCTTTGTCACCTGTACATTCCAACCAGCACACTCTTTCCAGAATGCAAGGAAGCAGCAAGGTTCACAGCAGCAGCAATAATAAAGGCTACTGCCCAGCCAAATCTCCCAAGGACCCAGCAGTGAAGGTCCGTGATAAAGAGACCCCCCAAGACAGTTTGGTGGCAGTTGCCAGCCTTGGGACAGCCCCTCCCCAGCCGCCTTCTCAGACATTTCCACCTCCCTCCCTCCCCTCAAAAAGTGTGGCTATGCAGCAGAAGCCCACGGCTTACGTCCGGCCCATGGATGGCCAAGACCAGGCTCCTAGTGAGTCTCCTGAGCTGAAGCCACTGCCGGGAGACTACCGACAGCAGAACTTTGAAAAAACAGACTTGAAAGTGCCTGCCAAAGCCAAGCTCACCAAACTGAAGATGCCTTCCCAGTCAGTTGAGGTGAGTGGGGTTTCTTCTCACCGACAGGTCCCATCTAAAGACAGATTAGAGATCCAAAGTGCCCGAAGATTGAGGATGGGGAGGTCAATCTGTGGCTCTGAGGTAGAATTCCTTTTTGGCTTTTGGATCCCACAAAAAACTCATGGTCCTAAAGCCAAAGGGAAAGATGCACATCCCTGTAGAACCTACAACTTGGTCAAGGTAGAGGGCATATTTATTCCCAGAAGCTTCACAAAGGTTTCTCGCTGTCTTTGTCTCCAGAGATAACTGGCTTAACAATGTGAAGAAAAAATCTGATTAACACTTCCTCGGCCCTGGTTAGTTTTTCCTGAGATTCAAACCACAAAAAAAGTAAAAACAAGAGGATAAACTGTTTTTTTTTTTTTTT